CCGAAACTCACACACACACACAAAAACTTTGAGTCCCTGTCAAACAATGAGAAACTGCCCTTCCTCCTGGGGGAGTGTGTATGCTGCTGTGTGTTAGCAGCTCAGTTTGTGCACTCCTGCCACCGTCTGAGGAACCCACAATGATCCGCTCCACTGTCTCCAACACACAACTGGAACTCTTTACTTGTGGACTTACTGTTTATATTATTGTCACCACTTTTATCCTGTTTCACAAATTACCATTAATCTATTTTTATTTTTATTAATATTTTATTTTTACTGATATATTGTTATTTTTATTAATCTATTTTTATTTTTTACATTTCTTTTCTTTATTTCTATATTATATTTTATGTTCATATTTGTTTGCACTACTGCCCTTTTTGCACTGTCTTGTCTGTACGCAGCGGCGCTGCACTGCTTTGGCAATACGAATGTACAGTTATTTGTCATGCCAATATAGCACCTATGTGAAATGTGAAAGAGAGAGAGAGAGAGAGAGAGAAACACAAACAGAGCACAAATAACACAAATACATAACATCGATATATTTCTAAAAAACATAATAAAATGACCAAATAAACAAAACCAAAAATATAAACTAATATCTGATACAAAAATATTATTAACAGTGATAACAGTCTCTCAGCGACACTTAAAATAACAGCACAGAAAAACCAACGACAAACAAGTTTGCAACAACTTGAGCACGAGCAACTCAAATTGCATTTAGGCATGATTTATTCCTTTAATTCCTCCAGATTTCTCTGGATAGCCCAGGATAAGCTTGTCTCTTTTTGCTGAGACGCACAGAAGCGGTGTACATTTTGCCCTTGAGGAGCCATTATTGGCCTCTTATTGCTTTGGCTGCAGGAAACTGAGCAAATAAGGTGAAAAAGTGCGAAGTGTCCAGTAGCCCTCATAAGAGCGTCCAGTCACCGGTCTGGGAAACGCTTGTGAATCTTTCTGTGAAGCTAAAAAAGAGTGTTTGGGCTGCTGAGTATCATCTTGCTTCATTATCACTGCTAGTTTATGTGGAAAGTCTTTGTTGGCTTTACAGACGCAGGGAGTTCAGCATCAACGGCTGCGCTGAGCTATAAATATTCATGCATCGCTTATAGTACAATGAAGACCCCAAAATCTGAAAGTGACAGTCAAAATGCTTGGTTTAAAATGTGTAAAGAAAGACTCCATTGGTTGATGTGTTTGATCTGTTTAGCCGCCTGCCTTCCGACCTACTGCAACCCATCTCTAGGAAATATCCATACACACTCATTCACACACATACACCACGAACAATTTAACTTACCGGATTTACCTGTACCGCATGTCTTTAGACTGTGAGGGAAACCGGAGCACCCGGAGGAAACCACATGAATGCAGGGAGAACATGCAAACTCCACACAGAAGTCATCTCCTTCCAGTTATCAAAGAATAAATGTGTTCATTAATTATAGTTTTGTAACTATTACATTTTTTAAATTCAAAACTGTAATATTTTCATCAGTGTAAAACCTATAAACAGTGGGGAAACATTTTTCTGTAATTGTGTACCTGGTCTCCACTTTTGCCATGTCCTCTTTTGGCTTTAACAAACTTATCCCTCAGGTTTTTCCAAATATTTTAACAAAAACTTTCCTTCTTTTCCATGGCTGTTGCAATTTCTAGCTGAGAATTATTGATCTGGGCTCGGTTTTTCAAAAGGTTTAATCCGGATAAAATAATTCTGGATTCAGTAATTCTTATTTTGCGATCCATGATCAAGAAAGTTTTTCAAAACAACATCGCATTGGATCAATCTGATCCGGATCACCAAATCTGGATAACCAGCGCTCAAACAGGAAAACATCACAATGTAGAACTATAGATATGTAAAGAGCAACAAGTAGAATATCCATTGTGGGGTCAATATAACCTTGATTTAATTTAAAATGAAAACACACACATTTAAAAAAAAAATAAATAAATAAATAAAAACAAGAAAAACCCCACCCCATCCTTTTCAGCAGTCCGCTCATCTGAGACCTACAACACAAACACTGTACATTGAGGATATTTATAACAAGTTTCAAACATAGATGTATTGAATTAAAAAAGACTTAAAGTCAAAAACTCCACAATAATTTTAGACTTCTTCATCTGATGAGGAGAGACCAGCTTGTCTGAGCGCAGCTTTTAGGAGGCGGATCTCAAGTCTGGCATTGGTTTGCTGCAGTTTGGTCAGAGTCAGTTGTTCATTTGCCAGACGAAGCTGTGCTTCTGCTCTTTCAGTCTCTTTTTACAATTGTTAAAAGTGATTTAAAAAAAAAAAACTATGGATTTTCCTTTTCATTGCATGCATCATTAATAAATATTGTAAAAAAACAAAAAAATTCTATTGTGATGAATATATATATCAATTAGTGACAGAATAAAAAGTATTTTTTCGGTCAATTTTTAACAGCTGTTTGGGGGAGTATTAATATGAGGCCAAACTCTTTCTACTTTGCTGTAGGCCTATACTCAAAGGCCGAATACGTTAAAGCCTACCTTATCAATGTAGCCTGACGGATGAAAAAATACAATTAAAACCTTATGAATAAATAGTATATCTTGTAAGATTCTGCATGATACAAATGTATTATTTGATACATTTTTAAAGTTTTCATTACATTTTGGGCATGTAATCCACGCTGAATCCACCCTTCTGATGGGATCAGTTTAATCCAGACTTTTTGGATCAAAGTGATCTAAATCCTACCAAAAAGGGCTGAAAGACCCAAAATAAAGGTTTGATCCGGATCAAAAACAGATTTGATTACTTGATCTAATCCGATTATGTAATCCGTTTTTACTTTTGAAAAACCCGTTTTCAAGATTTGATCCAATCCGTTATCCAAAATCCTTGTGGATTACTTTTGAAAAACCGGGCCCTGGCTATCTCTAATATCACGGATCAAAAAGGTGTCTGTACAGTTGTACCCATTTCAGGCAAAATCTCTTCAAAGTGTTTCATATTGAACTCAAATCAAATGCGCCACTGTGCAAACTGTTCAAACTTTTCGCGCTCGAGTCTCAAAAAAAATAATGCGTTCTGCCAGCCGAAATCATGTCACGCGCACCCAAAGTGAACCTCTGCTAACACATCGATGATGTCACATTTGCCATGCGCGCTCAAGCAAGCTAGTGGACGCGTCGAGTATAAACCAGGCTTAACAATACAACTCATCCATTTTACATGAGTACCTTCCCTTTGCCTGAATGCTTTCAGAATCTAAAACCCTCTTTTCATTTCCAGGTTAAAATGAAAAGAAATCCCGCAGCTCTCAGACTTCTGGAGCTCAGTGTTTGTAGCCTGTGTGTTTGCGGCTGTTCATAAAAAAGCTGAACAAGCATGAGCTGTCTCTTTTTGTTTGGGCTCTTCTTCAGCTTTAATAAAGCAAAGATCAAAAGCGAGAGCGCCATGGACCAGCGTACCTGTGTGAGGACAGTGAACAGACTAGCTTCATGTCTGAGAGTGAAAGGAAGACAGTAAATACACTTTCTTTTTCATGTTCAATTCAATCAAGTTTGCTGAACAGGACCTGAATTTTCATCAGTCTGGAGAACGCTGAGTTTTAATCCTGCTGCAGGACATTTGAGGCTGTTAATGTTTGATTTAAAGTTCATGTGAAATCAAAAGCTAGTTTTATTAGGCTTTCTCATTATATTATTCTGCTTTGTCTGTATATTCATGAACGCACTAGTTTGTAGGGCAAGTAGTTTGACCGTTTTCTGCTGTTTATTATTCCTATTAAAATTCACATTTGAAAGTTATAAACATTTCAATGTTTATAACTTTTGTCAAAATGAATCAACGATTTATAGTTCTGCGTTGAGGGATTGACCATGGCCCACACACAGTGCCTGCCTTTTGCACGTAGTCATTCATTTATATTTCTGTGTTCTGTTTGTGTTGCTCTGCAATAACACTTCTGAAACGCTAGCTTGCAGTGGGTTTTGATGTTCCTCTGTATCGAGTTTCTTCGCTGGTGTTTTGTTTTTTCTGAACGCTACCTTAATGTACAAGTAGCTAAAACTCGCTCATTTTAGGGCAGGAACCAGTGAATGTGCTACAACTTAAGTCATAAGGTAAACACAAAACAAAAGTATCCAAATGGACTGCCTTTAGGGGACACAACACTTGTAAACACTCGCTCCAACAGGATCGCTGCTCTCTCGTGGCTCTCTGCCCCGCATACACTCGTCACTGCTTCAAATCAACCAACCACGGGGCTTGCAGTACCTATCGTCATGATGGTGTAGTTACATTTTTTTTTAAAGGTGCAAGTCAGCGTCGATGCCAGCCATGGCGAAGGGTCTGCGATTACACAGGCTATACCTGACCATATTCGTACACTAATATAAATATAAATCAGCCTCAGCCTAGAGAAATGCAGTAGAGAGCGAATCAAATGCACGTGCCAGCATGCACCACAAAACATAGGAATAAGAAAATTATTACATTTATCTGAGCAGATGCTAATGGTCTAATCCGATTCAGTGATTTATGCTAAGCTAAGCTAAAAGTGCTTCTGCCACACCCTGAGATCAGCTGACTGGATTAAAAAATGGTAAAATTCAACTGTTTTACTCTGGTAGTAGTAAAATTTGCCTTTTCCAAAAAAGTGGAGTGTTCCTTTAATGGATTTGGAGGTATTAGTGAGATTTCTGTTCCCATCTTCCCATTTTTGGTGTGTTTTATATTTAGCTTTTGTAGGATGTGGATCATTTGTAATATAATCTTGCCTTCTTTTTTGTTTTTCTTAGTTTATTGGTATATGTTGTTATTATGTTTACTGTTGTTGTGATGAAACGTATTAAAAAGGCCATCTAGAAAGGCAGCAAGATTTATTGTACATTTTCTGGTTGTATCATTTTGCTGGGCACTGTACTGTATTTGTCTGAATGTGTATGTGTGCGTGTGTGTATGTGCTGAAAGCTCTGTCTGCTCTAATCTCTCTGAAATGCCCTTTTTGCAGGTTCTTGTCAACATTGGAAACTATTTCACATTGGAATCTGTCTTTCTTTGTCCCCGGAAAGGAGTCTACAGCTTTAACTTCCACGTTATTAAAGTGTACCAGAGCCAGACTATACAGGTGAGCAAAGCTTTTATGTGTTTCTTACAGAAAGACAATATTTGATCGCCTTCATTTTAAAATCATATCTGAGTTAGAGGATGTAGAAATAGTGTGTGGGTCTGTATGAATAATGCAATTTTAATATATAATTAGAATGCATTACAGTACAATGAAGTTTTAATATATTACAATGAATGATTCCGATTAAAAAAAATCAATGTCAGGTAAAGGTGTAGTAGGTGATTTGTGGTGATTAGTAATAGGTGATTTTTGGTTGAAAGTCTCTTCACAGGCTAATAGTAATGGTTACAGTAAATGATCTAAATGTGTTTATATGTATTTTTATATTTTGGGTAAGGCATAAAACCAAAAAAAATGTTCATCCAATTAAATAGAGTCGGACAGACATCTCTCATAATTCCGATAAGTAGCCTAATCTGCAAATACAGATGTAAATTTCTGCACAGCCGTTTGCACGCATCTCTGCCGACTGCCCCGCATTCACGCACGATCGGTAAAAACCTGCTGAATCTAAACTTTTTAAAAACCTGAATCAATATTGGAGTTACCTTTGCACGCTGGAGAAAGAATGACACCATGTCCGAAGGATTTCTCTTAGACAGGTAATGTTCTGGTTTAAAACCAAAGGGGTTTTATCTTCACAGAAGTGTTGTTCTCACACTAAAACCTTCTGATGAAAGATTGATAAGACTATTTTCAGTTTCATAAGGGACCTTTTACAGCATCAATAATGTAGATTTTAATTAGTTTAACAACAAAACACAAGTAAATACCGCTATTCTGCCTAGTCTCTCCCTATATTGTTTACCATGCAACTCTAATATTCAGTTTGAAATAGCATGTCAGTTGGCTTGCATGCCGCCTGACAAGCACTAGTCGCTTTTAACACATGAGAGAGGGTTCTTTTGCCGTGTTTGTGTTTAAGGAGGCGTGGCTCTAGATGGCAGGGGAGGGACTGTGATTCAGATATTTATGCTAAGCTGTTAGCATTGTGGAAGATCACCTACTGCACCTTTAAATTTCTAATAGTACAATTTTCTCATGCTTTAGGTTACTTTATATTTAACTAAATAATTTAATATTAAAAAAATAAAATATTTAAAAATGTGATAATATTGTCCTTAAAATAGTCCCTTCATAATTATAAGGTATGTTTATTAAAGCCTTTTATTCATAAAAGCATTAATTTGACTATTTTGATGTTTTGTTAGGTGAAGTTTATTTTTAAACTAATTTCGAGAGGAGCACATGCTCTTTTATTAGTTAAGAAAGTTTGCTCTGATCTGTATCTTAAATAATACAATTAATTCAAATATTAGATAACCTAAATATACATTTGACTGGACACTACCTGACAAAAGTCTTGTCGTTGAGTTGTAAGAGCAGCAAATAAATTCCAAAAGGTAGATTTTTCTGATGAATCATCTGTTGAACTGCATCCCAATCATCACAAATACTGCAGGAGACCTACTGGAACTTGCATGGACCCAAGATTCTAATAGAAATCAGTCAAGTGTGGTAAAGGAAACATCATGGTTTGGGGTTACATTCAGTATGGAGACGTGCGAGAGATCTGCAGAGTGGATGGCAACATTAACAGCCTGAGGTATCAAGACACTTCTGCTGCCCATTACATTACAAACCACAGGAGAGGGCAAATTCTTCAGCAGGATAGTGCTCTTTCTCCACATCAAAGTTCCTGAAGGCAAAAAAGGTAAAGTTGCTCGAGGATTGAGGATTGGCCAGCCCAGTCACCATAAATGAACATTATTGAGCATGTCTGGGGTAAGATGGAGGAGGCATTGAAAATGGATCCAAAGAATCTTAATGAACTCTGGGAGTCCTGCAAGAACTGTATCTTTGCCATTCCAGATGACTTTATTAATAAGTTGTTTGACTTATTGCAGAGATGTATGAATGCAGTCCTCCAATATTCATTATTTTTTCCACTGCAGCATGACTTTATATTCTATACTGTACATTATTTCTGTTAAGTGTCTAAGCAGAGTCAGACCTTACTGTCCTAATTAAATAATTAAAAATCAAGGCTTGATCATATTTTATTTTGGTAAAATAAACCTAATCTAGAGGCCTTTGCCTTTCATATAAGCCACTTCTGATACCAAATGATCAACTAGAAGTCCAGTTATTATTTGTTGTTCCTAAAACTTGGATAGGTGACAAGACTTTTGTCGGGTAGTGTATAATCACACCAACAGACTGATCTACAGCACTGAAAGACATCATAAGTGTCACAATAGGTGTTTGTTTTTACATATAGCCAAAAAGTAAAGGCAAATTAGATCGTTTTAGTATAAATTAGTATAGTTTGACCTAAACAAAATACGCAAACTAACCAAAAAACTCCCAATTGTTAACATATAATTCGCAACCTGATTGGTTATAGAAAACATTTAGTGGACAGCAATGTAAGGCATTATGAATATTTCTATAATGCATTGCAAGCAGACTTCAAGTCAAGTGCTATGAGAAAAAACCTCGGTGTAAATAAATGTTAGCAATAAAAAATCCAAGTGGCCATCACAAAAGGAGATTCATGACACAATATTTTTTTCTGAAATTGATCTCGTCACAGTTGAGATTTTTGCATTGATTTTCTTTTTATATCTCTGTGTTTGTGCTCCAGGTGAATTTAATGCTAAATGGAAAACCAGTCATCTCTGCCTTCGCCGGCGATAAAGACGTGACGCGTGAAGCCGCCACCAACGGAGTCCTTTTGCACCTGAATAAAGAAGACAAGGTTTATCTGAAACTGGAGAAGGGGAATCTGGTAGGCGGATGGCAGTACTCCACCTTTTCTGGCTTTCTTGTTTTCCCCCTGTAAAGCAGAAGTACTTCACCATTTCTGTCCCGTCGTCATTGTGTAATCGGCCCTTCAGCATTAATCGGAGGCCCTCAAATGGAGTGATAGCTCCAGACATTCATTCAGCTGTTGTCTACGGACTACTGGAAAAATGTGTCAATGGCAGTGAATCTGGAGAAGGGGGACATGTAATTCAGTGCAATATCACTTTCTGCTGCAAGTCGCTCTTCGTGAATCCAAGGATGTTCAACATCACGTTTGTTCGATTCGTTCGTACTTGTGTTTTGTTTTACTTAGAGTGTTTTATAGTGAAACATCTGTGAAAATGGCCTCTATTATGCTATTCTAAAAAAAAAAAAAAAGGTTATGTTTTCATAATGTCAACATCAAATCTTTTCTCACAGTTCCTGAAATAGTTGGTTTGGCAGTTCAACCCAAAAATAAACATTTCTTCACTAACTACTTACACTCAAGCGGTTCTGAACGTTTATGAATTTCTTTCTTTTTTTTGGATGCAAAGCAATAAATTTTGAGGAATGTTGGGAAGAAGCAGCCATTGAGGTCCATAGTAGGAACAAAAAATACTATGGAATTCAATAGCTATGTTTCCATCTAAAAATGCGAATTAACTCGTCACTTCCTGATTAACTGGCGCCAGAAATCAACAGTAAAAATGAAATTTGCTGCAGTTGGAGAAGCTGCGTCAATCTGTTCTTCATCTAATAAAAGACTTGCGCTTCAGAAAGCAATCCTGACAGGCAGTGAACGCGCGGTGGCGTTTGAAGGTGACAGACGTGGAGCACAGGCGCTCTTGATTCTGGAGGTCATTAATAATACAATAACACTAATATTTAAATGGTAAGGCATTTTAGAATGACCAAAACAAAGTTTCAAATGTTTTAAAGTGTGCTCAGCTGGCTGGTTTGTCCATTTACACACATTTACATCATCACATGATCTCTTACAACACAATCACATGGCCTTTTTTAATGCGCATACTGAAATTTGTGTGGTAAAAGTGTTTTCATCGTAGTTTATGCGCATCTTTTCTTATCGAATAAAAAGTTTATCCTACTCAGTTATGCGGATATGTTTTTTATGCGCATTTTTAAAATGTATCCGCATCTTGGCGTTTCCATCAATTGTTTTTAATGTGCAAAAATAGGTGGATGGAAACATAGCTAATGACTGTTTATTTCCCCCAACATTCTTCAGTATATTTTCATTTGTGTTCAACAGAAGAATCGCAAATTGGAACAAGGAAGCAAATGATGACAGAATTTTCATTTTTGGGTGAACTATCCCAGCAGGCACGGCATGACATCAGATAGATGTTGTAGCCCAACATTGTGGGGGCGTTGCATTTTGTTTGGAAATGAAAATCTGGTTGACGTTAGAACCCAACATTTGGTCAACGTCAATGTCCAACCTAAAATCAACCAAATATCAACTGATGTTAAAGCTTGACGTTGTGTGGATGTTACCACTATAACGTCTATCAAACGTTGGATTTTGGTTGCCATACCTGACAAATCAATGTCAGCATTTGACATCAATATGACGTTGGTTTAAGATGTTGGCTTGATGTTGTATTTTGGTCACTTTCCAACACAACCTAAAATAGACCATTCAACGTCATTATTGGACGTCAAAATAGCGTTGTCTTTAGAGATTGGCTAGAAATTGAATATCAGTTACCTGACACCAAAAACTAAATCTACCTTAATATTAATGTCTTATGATGTTACTGTATGTGCCTGCTGGGATTGTGCTCTTTAAAAAGTGGGGTTAGTTTTTTTTATATCAATGGTGACACCAAATCTCTTCTCACAGTTTCTGAAATTTGACAGTTTAACAAAAAAAAATTTACATACCCTCACTAATTACTTACACTCAAGTGGTTGTAGAAATTGCTTTCGTGTAGAAATTTATTTCTTCTGTTAAATGCAAAAACAAGACGTTCTGAAGAATGTTGAGAGGAAACAGCCATTGAGGTCCAAAGTAGAAAAAATAACATTCCCCAACATTCATCAGTATATTTTCTTTTGTGGTCAACAGAAGAAATTCAACTTGAACAAGGATCAGTAAAATGATGACAGAATTTTCATTTTTGGGTGAACTATTATGCTATTAAAAAGGGGTTTCTTTTTCATAATATCAATGTTGAAATCAACTCTGTTCTCACAGTTTCTGAAATGGTTGGTTTGACAGGTCAACCAAATAATGAACATTTCATGTATTCACACTTAAGTGGATCTAAACTTTTAGGAATTTCTTTCTTCTGTTGAACACAAAACAAGATCTTCTGAAGAATGTTGGGAAGAAGCAGCCATTGACATCCATAGTAGAAACAAAAAATACAATAGAAGTCAATGACTGTTTTTCCCCCAACATTCTTCAGTGTAATTTCCTTTGTGTTCAACAGAAGAAACTCAACTTGGAACAAGGATCAGTAAATGATGACAAATCATTATTTTTAGATGAACTGTCCCTTTAAGACAGTGGTCTCAGGCTAAATTCCTGGAGAGCCCCAGCCCTGCAGACGTTATCTCCAACCACCTCCAACTCACACCTGCTTAATAGTCTCTAGTAGTTTTGAACACCTTGATTAGTTGGATCAGCTATGTTTGATTAGGGTTGAAGCAAAACTATGCAGAGCTGCGGCCCTCCGGGAATTGAGTTTGAGACCCATGCTTTAAGGTGTCTCTAAACCTGCTCTGTTCTGATTGGTCTGATTGCCCTGTGTTCTGATTGGTCAACGGTTTAAAGTGCATATCAGAAGCCAAATGTCCATTATCATATCTGAGTTTCGGCTCTTCCACAGCACTTATATTTATGAACTGTAGCAGTGGCATTGGTTTTACCATATTATTCAGAGCTCATGTCTGACAGTATCATAAATACAGTATAATAGCTGATCAACCTGAACCACCATCACAAGCACGAGTTGAGCCTTATGTTTCTCAGTTTTTATTTAGTTTGTAGACCCTGCTTTCTTGGAAAGCTCTTTGTTCAAAATGGTGGTAGCAAGTGACAGAATGTTTTTGACCTGTTGACAATATAAACCAAACTCCTCCGGTCTCTGCTAGGGCTTTTAACTGGATAGTTCACACAAAATAAAATAAAAAATTGCTCACTATTTACTCTCCCTCAAGTGGTTTTAAATCTTTAAGGTCTTTTTTGTCTGTTTAACACCAAAGAAGTTATTTTGAAGAAAACTGAACCATTGACGTTCATAGTCAGAAATACAAATACTATAGAAGTCAATGGTTATACGGTAGGTTTCAGAATGTCTTCTTTTTTTTTAACAGAAGAAATAAAATCATGAAGGTTTGGAACAAGTGAGTAAATAAAGACTATAAATGTGAGTAAATTTTAATATTTTGGTGAACTATCCCTTTAAGGAACAAGGTAGACATTTTAATCTGGCAGCCAATGAACACCATAGACTGTTAATAGGCAGGCACCTATTTGGAAATGTTGTGGTGATAGCATTAACCAATAACTGAATTGAATTGGATTACAAAAACAAAGGGAAAACAAATACATTACACAACTTTATTGAATTTAAAACCTTAACTGTAGAAAATGTTAACTGCAAACATCCAGACCTTTCTTTTTCTTTCTTAAAATCATTTACAATGTTCAATTCTGAAATATTTTTAAGAGAAAAAACTCTCTCACTGCCAAAATCCTGTCTTTTCCCTAGCAAAAACTTTTCTGAAGTTCTGATCAAAAATGTATTCGTTTTATATATTAGGCCAAAAATGTTGTTATTAATAACTATTTAAAATAAACAACCATCAGTTAATACCTATTAAGGAAACTAGTTAGAAGTCTAGTGCTATTTGTTTGTGCAGGAAAATAACTAATGACTTTTCAGACTGTTCAGATCACTGATCAATTTCCAATCTTTTCTCTTGAGAAACAATAGTCGCATTTCTACAGTTGGGCCTAAAGCGAGTGCGCTAGTGTGTGGCATTGGCATTTCCACTGTCGTTTTCAGAACTCAACTGGGCCTCTTTGGGGTCAAAGGCCATACATTTTTGACCTGCCAGATAGAAAGTACAAAACAGGCAAGATTAATTTACCTCCATAGGGCAAATGCAAACCCAGGTAGCAAATAATTTTGGCCCAGATTTAACATAAAGCTGGCACAGGAGGCATTCATCTGGCAGTGGCAGACAGCTTGTGGGCCAAACATTGCCTGTATTTGGCAGAGGTGACACGTCTTAAAGGCGGCACACAAGATTTGGGCCAGAATTAGTATTTGAATAAAAATTGATATGTGGGCCACATTTAAATAAATTCAAATTATTTTTGAGTAAAGAAAAAAATTCTACCAATCAGGTCGCTTTTAGAAAAAGCATGCCCATAGTGTGCCTAAAACACAATGCTTCATGGGTTTATTAATTTCATTGCAGTCATGTCACACTAACATTTCTGGCCCAGTGCACGCCCAATTATGAGTTATTAATTTGGCTGAGAATTGACCCAGATATTGTCTATGTTTGACCCTTTTCTGGAAGCCAGACTTGGTCCAGTCATGTACCATAATTCATGTGGGCCAAACAAAACTTGATTGTGTGGACCAGAGCTGGTAAAAATTTTGCCATGTCGGTTGTTTACCCGAGTCGAAAGATGATCAGCAGCTTAATTTGTCATGTTTTCATATCTAGCTACCTTGCTTAAACATCTGGCATTGTTGGAAACCAGCATAACACAGTTTCTGAGATATATCCAGTTGTAGGCCTGCAAATCCACACGTTTCAGGCCACTAAATCCAGATTACTAAATCCAAGCTAGGGAGAGCTATATGGGTAATGACGTATCAGTTGCGGTCTTTAAACATCAAACATTAAAAACATAAAAAATGTAACATTGATAGATTTTATATAGAGTATTTATTAACAATTACATTAAAGATTTCTAAAATGCATATTAATTTTGATCAACATAATGAACCATGGGGTAGCACGGTGGTGCAGTGGGTAGCACAGTGGGTAGTTGACTGTTCATTCCGCTGTGGCAACTCCTGATTAATAAAGGGACTAAGCCGAAAAGAAAATGAATAAATGAATAATGAATCATAACGTTGACAGTAGCTGATGACAGATTTAATTTGTTGTGGTTCAACCTGTTGTGTTTTATGGATGTAGACTCTAAATCACCTTTAAAACAGTATTTATTATTGTATTAATGCATATGTATGTGCACATTCTCATTAGCCGCAGCCGTAACACTAATCAACATACTCGTGGCATACAGTAAGTCCCTCCCACTTGGAATCCTGGATCTAGTGTAGTCTGAAATGTGTGGGTGTGCGGGTTTGCATCTGGAATTTTTTGACTTTTCCCCAACAACAGAATGTAACAAGATTCAATTTGGCTGTCCACAACAAACGCAACACGCAGAAAAGTGCAGAACTTGACACAATCTACATTGTAAAAGTGCTATCG